GGGCTGGGAACCACAGCGGGGTTGGATCAAGGGTTGGACTGGATGATCTCAGAGGTCCCTTCCAACCCAGCTAATTCTCTGATTCTATGATGTGTCCCCAAAGGGGACATCCCTGAACAACCTCATTCCCACCCTAATAATAAAGAGGGTGTCTCGAGCCTGCCTTTCTTTCTCCACACGCAAAAGGTGTTTTTATTCCCCTTTTTTCCTGTTCCTTTTCCCTCTCCCCCCTCCCCTGCCACGGGCGTGACAGGCTGGACCTCTCCAATCAACTCATATTGGGAAAAAAACACAAACAAACAAACAAACAAAAAAAAGAACAAACCAAACCAAACAAAAAAAAAAAGGAGCTGTTTTTTCTACATTTTTGGGGGGTTTACCAATGGCTGGTTCTGTGTGCCAAGGAAAGGACAAAAAGGATTAATTTGCCATCCCTGGAAGCCTGGACACCAAAAGTTGATTCTCAGTTTGCCCTTAGAAGAAAGGACCTGAAAGTTCATCCAGTTCCATGGCAGGGACACCTTTCACTAGCCCAGGTTGCTCCAACCTGGCCTTGGACACTTCCAGGGATCCAGGGGCAGCCACAGATTCTCCGGGAAATCCATTCCAGTCCCTCCCCACCCTCCCAGCCAGGAATTCCTTCCCAATATCCCACCTAACCCTGATCTCTGGCACTTTAGTGACCCAGGAGAAAAAGGACAGAAGGTTTTAACCCAGGATGAGGTTTCAGCTATGGGAAGAAAAAAAAAATCCAGGGAGAGGAAAGTGTTATTATTAAACCGTGTCCAAATTATCTACATTTGATTCCCAACAGTGACCACTTCTGGCCAAAATTTTGGCAGTTTGAATTGATGATGTTCCTTTTTTTTGGTTTTTTTTTTTCTTTTCTTGGAAGCTGATTCCCATCAGGAGAAGGATCTGAACTTTTGGAGAGGTTTGTTTTAAGCTGTTGGAGAAACACATTTCAACCCTGGCCGTCCCCGAGGGGCTCCTTAAAATAGCAACGTTACAAAGGCTCCTTTGAGCCCCACATTCCTGCCTGGTTCCTGATATCCACGTTCATGGATACAATCTGCAAGGAAACCCAAACAAAAGAGGGCCAAATTACCTTTTGCCTTGACAGGGATATAAGGCTGGGATGGATCTCCCGAGGGGAATGGAGTTTTCCAGTGGGAAGGCTTCCAAGTAGGGACCTCACACACACATTGGGATGCATCATCCCAAATAAAAACAGGACAGGCTGAATAATTCAGCCCAAAAAAAGCTCCTCTGGTTACCAGAACACACCAGTGTTTGGGGGTGGTGGGAGATGACAGAATCATTTCCTGCAGCACCTGCTCCAAACCAAAGGCCTTGGATAAATCCCAGTTCCCGAGGCTGGAAAGGTCGAAAGCTGCAGGGTTGGATTTTCTGCCCCTCGGGAGTCAAAGAGGGACCTTTTCGTGTAGGGAAAGGGCTGGAGAGGTTGTTTTGGGATCATGGGAATGGTGAAGGGGTCCTGGACAACGATTCCCTGTGATTTTAGGGGACATCCCAACCCTCCCTCCAATCCTGGTCCTGCATTCCTGCCCTTCCCAGAGGCCGGAGAGGGAGATGGGCTGAGCAGGGTGAAATCCCAGGAAAGCCCTCCTGTGGATCTGAGCTCATCCACAACAGTGGCAAAAACCTCCAGGAGCAACGCTGAGCTGGGAAAACCTTAATTGCTGTCAATTAAAGGGTCGAGAGAAGGGTCGGAAAATCCCCCCTTTAGCCTTTGCCGCCGTGCATTTGGAGCTCAGCCTCCCAAAGAACTGCAGTTCCCACCTTCCCAGAAGGGAGCAGGCAGGGAGGAATGGATCATTCCCACGCCTGGCAGGGGGGTGGGTTTGGATTTGGGAGCCCCGAGGTGGGAGTTCATTTGGTGTGTGGAGAAAGAGGACCCCAAATCTCTGGGGGTCGGGGGCAGAGGCAGATTTCTGCCCCGAGCTCCTCGTGCAAGGGTTAAACTGGGAACAACCCCCTCTCTGGGCAACCTCAGCAGTTTGGGGTTACCTGCCTTTCACAGGAAAGGATTTGGGGGAGAAACAGCAGCTCAGAGGATCCCAAATCCAGTTCTGTGCCCTGAGGACTGGCTGGGTACAGATGGGGGACCAAAGCCTGGCTGGGGCCACTCCCTGAACACCAGGCCCTGCTTTATTCCCACCACCTCCCCCTGGCAGGGGCATTTATGTACCTTATTTATAAAACGAGGTTTATTTTATAAATATACACGTATATCTGAGGGTTTCTCCTGCTTTCCCTCTCTCTCCAAGAAAAGACCCAGCACAGGAGCTGCGATGGGGCCCCTGAAACTTCGCAGTGGATTTTTTTCCCCCCCTCTCTCCTTCTCCGAGTGCCTGCAGAGCCCTGAGTACATATTTGCTCAGTCTGCCCCACATTTAAACACACACAGATGTTGGGGACCCCTGGGGACAGCGGTTCCCCCAGCCCCAGCGAGCAGAAAGGAGCCAGACCCCACGACAAAGCCCGGCAGAGGTGGAAATACCTGCCCGGAGATTCCCAAAGGAACCCCTCCCAACGCTCCCCCCTTCCTTCCCGAACCCCTCTCCCTAATAAAGAGCATTTCAATCCCTCCTGCAAGAGCCTGAAAAGCAGATTTGGGATTAAACTTGGGCAACGGGGTGGGCTGGGGTCGGGTTTAGGGCTTTTAAAGCCCCCACTCTGAGCATCCTCCATCCCCCTCTCCCCAAGCACCGCCTCGCTGGAGGGAAAGGGGTGGGAAGGGGGTGGGAAAAGGGTGGGAGGGACGCAGGACCGACCCTCTGCTTCCCAATCCATCTGTCCCAGGCTGGATACGACCAAGGGAGGGTGGGGGGAATTTTATACCTGCCCCTCTCCCCGGGGAAGATCCGCTGGGACTGGAAGGGAGAGGGTTTGGAAGAAGGAGGAGGAGGAGGAGGAAAAGATTGCATCAAGAGCACAATTTTTTTTTTCCCTTCCCCTCTCTCTCTCCCTCTCTCTCTCTCTCTTTCACAGGAAGCCCTACTCTACCTTAGCCTTGGAAAGAGCCCCTTTTCATAAAATTAGCTGAAGGCACCTATTCACAGCCATGGGGCTGTGAAAAAAAAAATTTAAAAAAAAGGGCTCAAAAAAAAAAAAAAGCCAGCAACAAACCGACTGTAGAGTTTGGGGGGTTTTTTTCTCTTTTTTTTTTTTTTCTCTCTCTCTGTCTTCTTTTATTTTTTTTTTTCCTTCGCTCCAAAAAATCAGCCAGAAATGCTCACACTGCTCCACTCGGCGAAAACTTGATGTTTTTACCGTCTGCTCCCTGATAGATCCAGAGAGGAGCGAGTTTGGGATTTTTTTTTTTTTGCTCTCCGTGCTGCCTTCAGCTCCTAAATATCCGCTGCTTCGGCGAGGAAAGGGGGAAATAAAAGGGAGGGGGAAAAGGAGGAAAAAAAAAAAAGACAACAAACACCCGAGTGTTTGATTTTCTGAAGTGCCCCAGAGAGTCATCCCGGAGCTCTGTGTGGGTTTGCCCGCGTGGTGCATCCTCGGGAGGGTTTTTAGCCCCCTCCCCTCCTGGGTTCTCCTCCCACGATGGAAAAATGATAAGGGGATGGATCCTGGGTCCCGCTTTCAGTTCCTGAATAACCCCCCAACAGCTCGGCTTGGTGGGGGGAGTTGTGTTTTAATTTTCTAATTTCATTTCTTTCGCCGCGTGGTTTTATGAATGAAACTTCCTGGCGGAGCTGGGCGTAAAATGCACGCTCTGAAATTCGGGAAAAGCGGGGAAATCCAGGCTGGGAGAAGGGGGGGGAGGAGACCCGAGGGGCTCCGAGGGGCTCGGGGGGCTCAACTCCGGGAGTTCCAAACCCCCTTCCCGGGTTTTCGAGAGGCTCCTCCCGGGACAGGACAGAGAATTCCGTGCCCATGCGAGTGGAAAAAAAAAATAATCCAAATATTATAATCATCATCATCATCAACCCCAACCCCGAGGATTTCAGAGCATCGAGTGAGCGCAAAGAGTTTTTGCAGCGGGGGGGGGGGGGGGGGGGAGAGGAGAAAAAAGCTCAAAAAAAAAAAAAAAAAGCTAAAATAAACGACGTAAAAGGGGTGGCAGAGAAGGGGGAGCGATTTTCACCCCACGCTTTCACGCCGCGCTCAATCGGCTTTTTGAAACCGCAGCTCCTCGGAGCCGGAGAGGGAGAGAGAGAGGCAAAAATATTCCCGATTTATCCCCTAAAATTCGCTGCGACCTGGAACGTTGGCAGAATAAACCTATTGTGGAGCTGCACCGCGCCGGGATATCCGAGCAAACCCCCCCTTCCCACCCACCCCGAGTCCCGCTGTTGGAGAAAAGGTAATTGCGGAGCGCGAAGATTTCCCGAGTTTTTGGCGTTTTTGGGAACTTCGGGATTTGTTGGCGCGCGAGAGAAAAAAAATAAAGGGGTGGGAGAGAGGGGGGGGGAGAGTTTGGGGTGGGTTTCCCCCCCACACACCCCCCCGGGTGAAAACTCGTCCGAAAGCTCCAAGATAAAATTACTGGGGCTAAAAATAAAGCGGTGGTTGGAGCTTCCCCCACCCTCTGAACCTCCCACCCCTCCCTGGCCGCCTCCTTCCCTCCCTCCTCCCTCCCTCCCTCCCTCCCTCTCTCTCTCTCGCTCCCTCTTTCTGTGTGTTTGCGTTCGACAAAGAAATGATTTGAACTTCCCACTGCCTCATAAAAGGGCAGCGGCGGAGCGGCGGGGCCCATATGGATGTGATTTTTGCCCTTCTCCCGCAGATGCCCGCGGAGCAGCGGCGGCCCCGGCGGCTGCGGCGCTGAGCGGCTCCCGCTCCCTCCCTTCCCCTTCTCCATGGGCTCCTCGGCCGCTTTTTGGGAGCTTCCCGCCGACCCAGCCATGAGAAAGCGGAGCAAAGGACCGGCCGCCCTCCTCGTGTGCCTTTCTGGCTGAAAAAAAAACCCCAAAACCAACAAAACAACAAAACAAACAAACAACAACGACAAAAAAATAACCGACCCCCCCAAAAAAAAGCCAACCAAACCAACCCAAACCCTCTGGAAGCAAACAAACAACCCGACAAAATTCTGGAGGGGGCGGCGAGGGGGGGGGGCGGGAGGGAAGAAGGAGAAGAAGAAGGAGAAGGAGGAATCAGCTGCGCTGGAAGAGCTCTCGCCCTCCCGCTTCCCTGAGCGAGCTTGGATGCTGGCAGGAGCCTCTTGGATATGGGATCATATCTGCTTTATCACAGCCTGGGTTTGATCCTCTGCTGCTCCGTGCTCAGCTCGGTCTACGCGCTGGTGAGTCCCGCTTTTCTCTGCCTTTCGGGATGCGCTGGAGGTTCCTCCTCACGGTCTCTTTTGCCGGGCAGAGCTGCCGGGGGGTTTTTTTTTTTTTGCAGCCCGGTGGTTGTTTCGCTGGCAGGCGCCGTGTGTGCGCTCGGGCTCCGGGGTTGTGCTGCGGCGGCGGCGGCAGCAGCAGCAGCTGGAATTAAAATGTCTGAGCTTCCCCCGGAGTTTGAATCACTTGGAAACCCCAGAACGTGGCCAGTTTGACAGGGACCCGGCAACGGTGGCCGGGGATGAGCTAAAGACCCCTGTGGGTAAAGGACAACTTTTCTTTCTTCTTTTTTTTTTTTTCTTTTCTAGTTTTTCTTTTGCTTTTTAATTATTTTTTTATTTATATTCTTTACTTTTATTTTTAATTTTTTTCTTTCACTTTTTTTTTTTTCATTTCTATTCATTTCTCTTTCATGTTTTCCTTTCCCTTTCCTTTTCCATTTCCCTATTCTTTTTCCCTTCCTCTTCCCTCTCCCCCTTTCCCCTTCCTTTCCCCCTTCCTTTCCCCTTACCTTTTCCCTTACCTTTTCCCTTCCATTCCCTTTCTCTTCCCCTTTCCTTCCTCTTCCCTTCCCCTTCCCTTCCCCTTCCATTCCCCTTCCTTTTCCCTTTTCCTTTCTCCTTCCCATCCCCTTTTCTTCTTCTTATCCACCCCCTCAAGACCATTTAATTTTGATTTAGTCTCCTTATACTACAAATCTCCTTAATCCCAGTGAAACAGTGCCTTCTTCTTTGGGATTAAATTTGGGAAGGACCTCAGAGTGCAGGACTCACCTTCAGTCCCCACCCAGGACCAGGAAAGTCGGATTAACCCTTTGCTCCTTGGCATCATTTTCACCTGTTCCTGCCCACACCAAGGGAGGAAAATGGGATAAATTCCCTCCAAACTGCCCTGCTGGTGGTGATGGAGAAGGGGATGAGATCTCCAGACCCTCCTGTGCAGCCCCAGGTGGTGTCCAAAGCCCTCCTGAAGTGCTGGGACACGTCCTGGGGAACCAGCCGGCAGATATTGATTTTTTGATGGTCATCCTGAGGTGCCAGGAGCTTTCCTTGCTTTCCCCATCCCTGGAATCCCCATTTCTCCACGTTTTCTGGCGCAGGAAGGGGCACAACCACCACCTAAAGCAGTGTCTGCTCTCCAGGAGGATGGAGATGGGTTGAAAAGGGATTGGGATCATCTTCCCCCCTGGTTCCAGCCAGATCCTCCCTGACCCTGCAGGATCCACCACCCTGGGCCCTTTCCCTGGGTTTGGAAAGGACTCTTGGGGACCTTGTGCAGGGCTGGGAGGGGGGAATTCCCCCACACTTCCAGCCTTGTGCTGGTGGGAAACAATTCCTCAATGGAAGAGGAGAAGCAGCCCCTCGGAAAACAATCCTTGTGTCACTGCAGCCCTGCCAAAGGTCCAAAGAAACCTCTCAGAGCCCAAGGAAAATTGGGAGAACTGGGAGAAGCCCTTGGAGGTTTGTTGAGGTTTTAGTGATGGTCGAGGCTCCTCCTTTTGTGGGGTGGGAGCAGCAGCTCTGGGACCACTTTGGGGTGATTCCCGCAGCAGGGTGGGTCCTGCAGCACCTGCTCCCCCCTCCCCAGCCCTGCTGCTGAAGGCAATCCCAAAATTCCTGCCCTTCCCGCTGCTTTGGGTGTCTCTGTTGGCACTGGTGAAAATCAGGTTGGCAAAAGAGCCAGATTGGAGCTCAGGAAAATTCAGGACCCAGAGAACACAGGCGAGGCTGCAAAGTGCATCTCCGGTGGCACTCCTGGCTCCATCCCCTCTCCCAGAACATCCCAGTACCTCCCAGTACATCCCAGTACATCCCAGTACCTCCCAGTGCCTCCAGAAGGTGCAGAGGAGCAGCCACTGAGCCAAAAGCCTCACGCTGCCAGTGGATGTTTTATTTTGACACTTTGGGATCCCAAGGGCTGTTCCCAGGAGCTCTGGGAGGTGACAGGGGCTCCCGACTGGGGTGTGCCCTGGGTGAGCTGGGCCTGGGCATAAACTGGGAACAGCTCTTCCGGAATCACAGAGGGGCAGGGAAGGCAGGAAATCTGCTGGGAAAGCCCAGGACTGTTGGCACTGCTGCACTTCCAAAAGCCTGAGCCCCTCAGCCTTGCTGAGCCTTGGGGGTCCCTCCCAGCTCGGGAGATTCTGTGATTTTATGACTCTGATTTCTGGTCTGATTTAAGGTCCTGCTGCTCAAAACCCCGCAGTTTAATTAGGCCCAGGCTGAAGTTCATGTTTCAGACACTTTCCTTGCTTTCCAAACCACTCTTGACAGCAGAAGGACTTGCCAGGAGGTTTATAGAGTTGTCCTGATGATTCAGGAGCTGCAGAGCTGTCGTGTGCCCCCCCTGGCATCCACTGAGGCAGGAGAAGAAGGTCAACCCCACATTACCCTGCTGTCCAACAGCTTGCAGGGTGCCTGGAACCCGATTTTTTCGGGCTGTTGTTGTGCCTTCCCCCGACTAATTTGATTTTTAAACGAATTTTGGGAACACAGAGTTGAGTCTTGAGGATACATCCTGGTAGATGTAATGTAAGAAGGGTCGTGTGCGTGCTGGGTATTTGGTTGGAGGGTCAGAGGGCTGTGCTGCCATCCAGAAAGGCACCATCTCTTAGGATGAACAAGCAAAAAATCCCTGGGAGGAAGAGCAGAAAGATGAGGAAGCTGGGGCTTAATTTAGACTCGGCTCTAGGCTGAGCTCAGAGTGGTACCCGAGCCTTGCAAAGCAAAGCTCTGTTGTGGGGTTGGAGTCAGGAGGATTCCCGCAGACAGAGGCAGCTCCAGGGCACAATCCATCTGTCTGGGCTGGGAAGTCTGGAGCCTTGGGATCCGTGGCCCTCATTCCCTCATTCCCGCATTTCTGGGAGCTTTTGGGCTCGGTCACGTCGCAGCTCCGAGCTGGGGATGCTGGGATGGGGCAGAGCAAGAGGAGCCCGAAATGTGGAGCTGTCACTCCTGGTGTTCCTCCTGCCAGGCAGCAGGGAGAGGGCTGGAGGCCCTTTTTGGCAGGAACAGTGCTGGAGCAGGGATGGGAAGGGATTCCTTTGGCCCCGGCCCTGGGACAGCTCTGGCAGCTGCACCTCTGCCCTGCAGCACAGGGGCTGGGGGACCCTGCAGAGCTGCAAACCAGGGGGGAGGTTCAGCACGGGGGAAAACACTGGGGGATTGAGGCCTTTGGGAGCTCAAAGTGTGGGAATAAGACCCCACAATCTCTGTGGGATCAGCACCGGGGGAATCAGAGCCCCACAATCCCTGTGGGATCAGAATCAGGGGAATCAGAGCCCCACAATCCCTGTGGGATCAGCACTGGGGAAATCAGAGCCCCACAATCCCTGTGGGATCAGTGTGGGGGGAATCAGAGCCCCACAATCCCCGTGGGATCAGTGTGGGGGGAATCAGAGCCCCACAATCCCTGTGGGATCAGTGTAAGGGGAATCAGAGTCCCACAATCCCTGTGGGATCAGAATCAGGGGAATCAGAGCCCCAAAATCCCTGCGGGATCAGTGTCAGGGGAATCAGAGCCCCACAATCCCTGTGGGATCAGTGTGGGGGGAATCAGAGCCCCACAATCCCTGTGGGATCAGTGTGGGGGGAATCAGAGCCCCACAATCCCTGTGGGATCAGCACTGGGGGAATCAGAGCCCCACAATCCCTGTGGGATCAGTGTGGGGGAATCAGAGCCCCACAATCCCTGTGGGATCAGTGTGGGGGGAATCAGAGCCCCATAATCCCTGTGGGATCAGAATCAGGGGAATCAGAGCCCCACAATCCCTGTGGGATCAGAGTGGGGGGAATCAGAGCCCCACAGTCCCTGTGGGATCAGGATCAGGGGAATCAGAGCCCCACAATCCCTGTGGGATCAGTGTGGGGGGAATCAGAGCCCCACAATCCCTGTGGGATCAGCACTGGGGGAATCAGAGCCCCACAATCCCTGTGGGATCAGTGTGGGGGGAATCAGAGCCCCACAATCCCTGTGGGATCAGCGTCCCCATCCCAAGCTCTGAGGGGCAGCGAGAGGGACAGAGGCTGCTTTTGGGGTGGGGGGGAGCCTTGGGGGAAGCTCTGCTCTGCTCCAGCTCCCCTGACAATCCAGGGAATTCCTCCCCCAGCACTTCCCCGGGAATGGCGTGAGCAGCACCTGCCCAAACAGGGAGTGGGATTTCGTGTGGGTCGAGTGCTTTGTGCCCAAAATCTGACAAGGTGAGGGTGTAAATTTGGGTTAATTCTGCTCTTCTGCAAACGTGGGATTGGGGAGAAAACTGGGGAAAAAAAGGAGCTCTAAAAGGAGGGTCCAGCAGCAGCAGAGCACGGGAGAAGCGAGGTGTGGGCACAGAGACTTCATCTGAAAGGTGCTGGGATTGCTCCTCGTGGAAAAACCTCCCCGTGTCAGTAACAGTTGGACTCAACGATCCTAAAGGCTTTTCCAATTCAATTCCATGATTCTGTGTCCCACTCCCAGCCAAGAATTCTGTGGTTTGCTCTGCTGACCCCTCGGGTGTTCACTTTGTTTCCTCCTTTTGCCAGTCCCAGCCCGAGCCCCCCAACCCGGTTGGCACTGGGGGAGATAACCTGAATAATAATAATAATAATAGAATAGTGATAATAATGATAATGATAAAATAGCCCAGCTTTCTGCAGGGCTTTGAGCCAGAGCAGCTCAGGTTTGGGGAGCAGGTCCCAGGCTGAGTGGGCTGCAATGGGCTGAGCTCAACGTGAGTAGGGGATGAAATGAGAGTGGGGATGAAATAGGAGCAAAAAGGACCCCCCACTTTACTGGGGGGGGGTCTTGCCTTTCAGCAGCACTTGGTGCTGCATTTTGGGGGATAAATTCTGGCAGCAGAATGGTGTCCTTGCCTGTTTTTGCTGCCTCCTGTGGTTCCCCAGCCCTGGCCCCACTCAGGCTGCCTGGGCAGGGCTCAAACTTCCCTCTGGTTTTGCAGAGGAGATACAACACCCCCCTA